AGTCAGAGAATGATGCATATAATTAAATTTTTGCTTGATGCATAAAGTTAAAAGATTAAAACGGATAAAACAAGTTTTAAAAAGAGGCTTTTCCATCCGATTACATTTTGTATGATGGATTATGCAGAAAAAGTAGAATTGGGCTGAAAGATCTATCACTTTATCACCTGTTCAGGTTGTAAATCGTGTTTTTAAAAAGTAACTAATAATTAATTACTTTTGAAAATAAGTAATCAGTAAAGTAATGGGATTACTTTTTTGGGGAAGTAATCAGTAATTAGTTACTGATTACTTTTTTCAAGTAACTTGACCAACACTGGTGGTAAGCCATCAAAATCGCTTGTTTGGCCAAAAATGGGTAAATGATGTAATTTGGTAAAAAACATTAAAAACTACAACTTTCATGTGTTGAGTTTAGAATGAAAGCAATTTGATCTAAATCGCAGGATATAGTACTGCCAATAACAAGGGATCAAAAAAGGTGGTTACAATGGGTTTCAATTGGCCAAAAATGGCCACGATAGAGTCAAGAGGAACAATTTGGTGTATAGTGAATATTATTGACATTATTAAGCAGCTGATGTTGAAAATTAAAAAATCTGAAAAAAATACACACATTTGGGAAAATGGTTGAAAAAAGTGAAGTGGCCACCAAGGCCAGAGCCCAGAGGGTTAATCAGAAAACACCCAAACATGCTTATTGCTACCTGATAAAGTTATCACACATTGTCACTGATGTTTCTCAATATGCAGAGAATCCAACCATCAGTAAGGTCCCTGTAAAGGACAACACACGTGAAAACCCAGCAGGTTCTTGCTCCAGCTCCGTGCACGATGGCACCTGCAGGAATCCACTTCCACGCCGTTATCGTCAGCGGTGGATGGCTGTAATGGATAAATGCTGCCAGAGGAGGGCAGCAGCCTTTTTCTGATGATAGTAACCTGTCAGCAAGTGCATCACTTTTTAAAAGCGAGTAGATTCACTCCTACTCACACTTAGTTTCACCCTAATTTGTCCTTTAGTCACACGTGAATTTAGGATTTCATGCCATCGCACACTCATTTTGCATTTTAGGTGAGCGAGTTCTGTTTAACTAGAAGCCCATATATAGTACTTTAACTATACGTGTGCACTAAACTTATGAGTCCTGCTGTTCTTGGGAGAAGCATCACATTTTTACTGCAGTTAACTTTCAAAGTTTCTGCTACTTCTCATTTTATTAAACCTGAATAAGTGTCTAGTTTCTAACAGCCCACTGAATCTGTGATGTTTCACACTGATCATGTTAATGTTTATATATGTTTTATGCATGTAGCCCTCAGAGGAGGTTCATGGATGCTGTGAAGGAGGCCAGGGTGAGGGTGAGCTGGAGGCAGGTGGGTTATGTTAAAAGTCAGCAATGCAGCATTTCCTGAAAGTCTCGTCACATGTAAGTCGTTCCTGCAGAGGCAAAGAACTGGATTCAACATTTACTCGTAATCCTGCGGTCGTGATAAATGAGACTAGTGTCTTCATTTAGTATCACAGACACCTTACAAGTTACAATCAGCCTATTAATGTTCATGGCTTCCTTATTTGCAGCATACTGACAGGAGAACACCTGCTGATGCCAGACTGCAGCATGAACCACACACAAGAGACTGTCCAAGTAGTCTGATGTGGCTTTGGCAGCTTTTATCAGCAGTCCATGAGTCTGCAGTCGTCCTCCTGGGTCAGAAGATACAAGTAAACCGTTTTCTTCTACTAGCTTTGCTTTGTACCAGACAGAAAACTATCAGTGTGACTGAGAAGCTAACAACTGTCCACTGAGTGGCTGTGCAGGCTATACAGGCATGTTTGTTTATTCTTCTGGTTTCCAAGCTAACAGTCAAGGTCCCACAAAACTGTTGCCAGAAACAGTCAAGAGGTTATAAAACTCCTGATCTTAATGCAACTCAACACACACAGAGCTGAAACTCAAAGATCAAAAACAAAACCCTTCCCATCACACAGCTGAAACATAAAAACAAAATGAGGAACACTCAGTCGTACCAGGTGAAAGTTCTTTAATTCACTTGTTGAGCCATCCAAACATGTCAAACACACATGATAGACGCAGGCACAAGCAGAGGAGTACGCCTCACAGTGGAGTTTGTAGAATAACCCCATGGCGCTGGGTCCACGGGGAGCAGCCACGGCCGGTTCAGCTCCTCCAAACTAAAATCTGTGAAAACTCTTTTTTCAAACATCTCACTATCAGTTTTTTTAAGCAGGGATCTAAAAGTCTAACCTAAGGTGAAGTCGCCCCTCTATTCACAAACCAACAGTATGCACCACCTCTGGCTCCTCCACCACTCCCAGGTTTTTACCCCCCCC